TTATATATATATATATATATATATATATATATAACAAACCCCACCTTAATCTACTTTCCTTCATAGTCACCTCTACGTTCTATTGATTCTATTCATTCTAAATTCTATCATTTAATGTCTTGTTGCTCATTCATTACACTTATTCATCTCAACATTTCACCTCAGTTATACTCATTCCATTAATATATTGTTTCTTTATCGGCGGGCATACCATCTCATAAAGTATGGTTGGTCTTACACCTATCATGTATTATTTTAATTTAAAAATAAATCTATTTAAAATTTAAGGTATTTATATATTTATATGGTGCATCAAATAAAAAATAACAAAAAAAAAAATTTATATTGTGTATCAGGATTTGTGTAACCAATCATCGAAGGACATGGTTGAAAGTAGTAAAAAAATATATGTAGATTTATAGCCTCATTGACGGTAAGACCCTCAAAAGAGTAGAATGACATACTATGATTCATATAGATGACCCCAAAATAAACATTAAAACTCAAAATACCAGTTTTTTTATAAATATACTTATAAGATGACATTATAATTATAGATAATTAGTTAAGATTTAAGGTTTATCCATAAACATTTAAACCCTACATGTCTTGATTTACATTTTATTTGGATGTAATTTCTAAGAGACCTAGGGAAAAAGTAAAGCTTAACCTCCCTCGTCTGAAAAAATACTCCAGACATGAAAATTTGGTTCTTAATTTATTTTCACCACCTATTATTAAAGTTTGTAATATGTTATGTATAAACCAGTGTTTAAAAAAACGCCGAATCGTTCGGTTCTAGAGAGAACCGGACGATTCTGCACAGTGACTCGTCGATTCACTGTACGGGAATCGGCAAGTCCGTACAGTGAATCGGCGAGTCCTGTACGGAATTTTTTTTTTTTTTGTAATCCATGATAGATTTTTTTGTAATACTTGATCGATTTTTTTGTAATCCATGATCGAATTGTTTTTTTTTTTTTTGTAATCTATAATCGAATTTTTTGTTTTTTTTTTTGTTTTGTAACCCATGATAGAATTTTTTGTAATCCATGATCGAATTTTTTGTAATCCATGATCGAAATGTTTGTTTTTTTTCTTGTAATCCATGATCAAATTATTTGTTTTTTTTTTTTTTGTAACCCATGATAGAATTTTTTGTAATCCATGATCGAATGTTTTGTAATCCATGATCGAAATGTTTGTTTTTTTTTGTAATCCATGATCGAAATGTTTGTTTTTTTTTGTAACCCATAATCGAATTTTTTGTTTTTTGTTTTTTTTGTAACCCATGATAGAGTTTTTTGTAATCCATGATTGAATTTTTTGTAATCCATGATCGAATTGTTTTTTTCTTTTTTTGTAATCCACGATTGAATTTTTTGTTTTTTTTTGTTTGTTTTTTTTGTAATCCATGATTGAATTTTATGTAATCCATGATTGAATTTTATGTAATCCATCATCAAATTTTTTGTAATCCATGATTGAATTTTTTGAAAATTTGTGATTTTTTTTTTTTAATCCGTGATTGAATTTTTTTTTGTAATCCATGATAGAATTTTTTTAAATTTTGTGATTTTTTTTTTTAATCCATGATCGAATTTTTTTTGTAATCCATGATCAATTTTTTTGAAAATTTGTTATTTTTTTTTTTTAATCCATATTATTCAAAGAGAAAATGAGAGAGATGATGATTTTGAGGCCACCATATCCCAGCCATATTATTCACATATCGAGTCCCAACAGCAACAGTGTAGGGATGAGCACGACAGTGCAAGTGAACATGAAGGATGAACAATCTTCGGGGATTTTAGATTGGGAACACAACAAAACACTAACACTCAGGGATTTGGGAATAGTCAGACGCTTGATAATATCGATAATTCGTTTTTAGATCGAATCAATGAATTGTTAAACGAATTCAATCAATGGCACCAGCGTGACCAAGAAGAACAATAACGTTGTATATCATTTTATTTTTAGATCATATATTACTAATTTTATGCTTTATTGTAGTCCATGTATGTTGATATACTTATTCCATAATAATTCTATGTTTATCCTTCTGTGTGATGTAAATTAAATACTGAATGGCGGTTCATGCAGGGAAAAAACATATCAATATTCGCATATTCATTCAAAAACATGAAAATTCTTAATAGAGTACCCTCATTTCTTATTGAATTCCTAAAAAACAATATTTATAATGAATTTTAATAATTTTTTTGGATTTTTTTTAAGCTTTATTCTGACCGATTCACCCGATTCCCTATCCAGATCGCCGATTCACCGATCCAGATCGGTTTTTTGGGAGCCCGATCCGGGTCACCGATCCTTTTTTTAAACCATTGGTATAAACTATTTTTAAGGTTTGAAATCTAACTTTCTTTCACAACCACAATGGTCAAGGTCGAGATGATTGATTTTAAGTTGTTCGACGCCCTAACTACATTTTGAGGTAAATCTTTATCCCTTTTTTTGTCTTTATTTTTAGGTCCATGCGTTATTTTAATATTTTTCTTTTTTTCTCATTTGTTCTTCTAAGTTGGCGGAGTTGAGTTACCTAGTTCCCATCATTCGATTTTTAAAACCTCAGGGTTGGATAGAATAAAATCTCATAGATGCAATAGACAGTATATACCTGCATAAGATTCGTGATGGTGCATTGAGTATTCCGGAAGGGCACGTCTCTTCCGTCCATCTCCACAATGGACGGTGGATGATTATTACGGTGGCCCACTACTAATAATCCACTTTGGACCATCGTACAATATGCCCCTCGGCCTCCCCCTTCTCTCTCTCCGCCCTCCAGCGAGGAAGTAAAATAATGGAAGCCAAAAGGTTTTATATTCCGGAGGGAGCGTACTGTCCATTTACCACCTCGAATAAAACCTAATGTAGGAGCTTTTATGGGATTTATGAGGATGTAATTTTCTCAATCAAATTAGGGCGCACTTCAAAAATTCATTAGAAGATGTTGTTTTGATGTCCAAATATCTTAAAATTGATCATCTCGACCTCAAGATAATGGACATGAGAAAAATAATGGATTTCAAGTTTTGAAAACAGTACATCCTATAATGCATTTTTTGACGGTCAATTTTAAAGTTTTCATAGTCTACTGGATCAACATTATTTTTGAAACTTTAAATTTTATAATTATATATAAAAATATATTTTAAAGCTATTAGCAAGATTTTCACTATTGAAAACACATTTCTCAACACTATTTGAAAGTGTGTTTTATTTTAATTGTTTAAAGCCTCGGTTTTGTACAAACCGCACCTTTTTTTTTTCTTTAAGTGTTCTTGATCCACATACTATTATCAATAAAAAAAATTGCTAATTGCATTTGTAAGCCTTGAAAAAATAACATTTTAATATTGCCTCGAGACTCGATTAAAAGTGTCCAATTGTTGAAGGGTGAGATCCAAGAGCTAGAAAAACTCAATTTTTTTATGGGTGTATTTTGCATAAGGCTGAGGCCATAAAGCATTAAAGTAAGGAGCACATTCAAATAATATTAAAAGCATGTTGTTTCGATACTATAAGTACTTAATATGACTTGAAAATTAATTTTTATCTCTAATCATATATTTTAAAGCTTCAAATATGCCTTCAAATTTATTACAATATGCCATATTTTTAGTATTTGAAATCTATTTTTCCACATGTCATATTTAGGTGGAGCCGATGCATTTGCGGATTTTTTGGGCATTGAGATAAGCTCTTCTAATGAGCCATAATTTAATTTTTTAGGGCTCATAAACGTTTTCCTGATTTGGAAATTAGGAAAGGTTAGTATCCCCGTGAATCATCTCCCTCGTCCTCCCCCCTCTCACTCTTCTGTGTATCACCCCGAATGCAGAACCTTTCTCTCTGTAAGTAATTAACCAGTCTCTCTATCTCTCTCTCTACCGATAAATTTTTCATTCTCCTGGTCTTCCAATCAATGGAGGTTATCTCCAGATCAATACTGCTTTCCAGATTATCTGAAACCTCTGCAATTCTGCAACAAAACCCTAATTCCAGAACTTATGTGCATAAAAACCGTCCTTTTAAGTTATCTGAGAATCACTGTATCGATCTAAGAAGGGTTGATGGTGCAGAACCCGCTTGCCTGAAAGCTTTATCATCTATCAATAGTAGCTCGAGGAAAGGAAGTTCAGATCATAGTGTTAGTAGGGACAGGCTTAGGGTGAGGGTTTATCGGTTTAGTCCAAAAGCTTCATCTGACGAGAATGGCGCTGCTGATGGGGAAGGGATGGTTTTGGATAACGGTCATGCTCTTATGCCTGAAGAAAGTCATGTTTTTAATGTAAGTTGGAAGCCATGATCACTGTTTTCTAGTTCAACTTTAGCGATTTTGCACTTTTTTTCCCTGGCTTTTATATTTTTCTTTTTCTCTTTTACTTTATTTGTTTGTGGTAATGCATTTTTTTTTGGGGGTTTTACTTCGATATTTTTGGGAATAATATCACTGGTCCGATAAATGATAAAATTTCTGAAGTTTTTAAAATTACTGGCATGAAACTATTTTTCCGTCATCGTATTTGGTGCTATAAATGCTTAGATGGAAGATGTTGTAAGCTAATCGTTCAGGTTATAAGTTTTGTGATGTAATTTTTTTTGGTAGATTTTATAAGATACCGGTTGTAACTGATTTCTGGGTGATTCAGTCTATTCCATTATGAGTCTTTTTTCTTTATTCAACTTTTTTTTTTATTTAAAGTTGATTTGTCCAATTCCTTTTGCCGATAATGGTTTACCCTTTATCGAAAAGCAATTGCTTCGATTCAGTAGCGCTTGTACTGCTAAATTTCGTGTGCAATTAGCATCATTGTTAAATCCCAAGTTTATTTGATACAAAGAGTTATTGATGAAGATGGGCATGATTGTTTCATTTATGCTTATATAACTTTACTGTTAAAAGTGTTGTCATCATTCAGTGAATAAGTAGATCAGTTTGTTATAGCCATGGGAGTTTTATGGTGTCTCTTTGTCTATTTTGTGCTAATTTTTATTTTGTTTTCTTCAATTTATGTATAAATTCAAACGATTTGAGACTCGCGGAGGAAAAACCTTGGGAACTTCTCCTGGTGTCCAAGTTTTATGTTTACTTTTTTTTCATTTTTAGAGACTTAGCTGAGTCTCTCAAGGACTTGGCTGAGTTGAGTTGCCTGCTCTGGCTCTAGACCATTGTTAGAAAAACCGGGCGATCTAACTGCTAACCGCCCGGTTAGATCGGAATTGGCCAGTGGCCGGTTTCGGTTTTGGTGATCAACGGTATTTAAAATTTCTTTTTTAAAAAATGTATATAAATTCCCAAAAATAAGAAATTTGGTTTGTAATACATTTTTAAATATTTTTTACATTGTGGTAAAGATTAAAAATTGTTTTTGTCACTAATACTCACGTTAATTCAAAAATCAATTCATTAAAATCTATTTTTTTCCATTAATTTTCAACTTCATTTGAATGTGTTTGGTTTTAATCATTCTTTATATGCTTTTCATATTTTAGTAGATTTTTTTTTGTGTCTTTTTTTTTTTCAACACTTTTAAGACCGCCTGAAACTTACCCAATTAGAATGGCTGAATCGGCCGGTTTACCGGTTAGGCCGGTTAAACCTCTTCCGGGCCCATGTCCGGTTAACCGTTCCGTTTAGATTTGGCGAACACTGCTCTAGACCCTTGTGGGTCACGATCTGAGTCCATACTTTACAACAATGATACTTTTTGTTTGACTTAACTAAAATGTGAAGTTTTCCTTAAATGTCAACTTTCCTATGCTCTAGATACATTTATTATTTGGAGTTGTTTGAAGAGAGGTATACTTGCTTCGCTATTTTTATGATTATTGTTATTTTCAGGCAAATCTTCAATGTTGCAAGTATAATTCATTGCATTTTTTTAATTTTGTAGATTGACTTTTATGTTTTAGGATTACTCAGTCATATGCATGATCATGTCTAAGGATCGGTATAATCGCATGTGTGCAATGCAAAGTTTGCAAACTGTGTTTATTCATATATAATTTTGCAGACCACGATGATTTACGTATATATTTGTTTTGAACAATGTTTTAAAACCACTGATCTGGAGCAGGAATAGGTCGGGACCAAGCAGGATCTGGGAAGGTATCGGTCCTGGACCCGATATTCTATTTTTTGTCCCCTTCTCTTAAGATTATTCTAGTGTTCTCTTTGGTCCTGTTAAATCTCAAACCCATAAGCCCCTATTTTAATTTTTTTATTTTTAGGAAAATTTATCAAAACATCTATAAGAGATGAACTATTTAAAATTCTACTAAATTGCAACTATTCCAACTCACGATCATGTGTCTTTTTGATGGGTATTTTGAAGTTAAATCAAAAGATATGGGTATAATGTTAAATATTTATCCTCTTATGGGTATTTGGATAAATTTCCCTATCTTTTAATAATTTATAAATTGCCGATCCGGCGATCCAAGTCGGATGTGGGGTGGACTATCTGCCCCTTGGATCCAGGTTCTGAAACACTCATCATCATCATCATCATCATCATCATAGCTTTTTTCCAATTATTTGCGGTTGGATACACGATCCTGGTTCGTCAGTCTGCTCTATTAAATGCCATACTTTCAGTGAGGCCATACAATGCGTCGTTTATGGGAAACGCCCTAGCACAAGTAAATATCGTAGATTTAAGATTCATGATATGTTTTGGCAAAATTTTGCGTTGGCTGCCTACGTAACACAACCCAGCCTTTTTACCTGGGTATGGGACAGGTTAAGGGAAAGTCTAAAGTCATCACCCTTCATAGACCAATACGTGTTCTAGCATAATAAACATAATATTAATGAACACTATAAGGGATTAAATCCTCTTAAGTGGGAAGAGAACAAGGAACAGAGATCAAAATATAAACGATTCATTGGGTAGAAAATGTGAGGGCTTTTTTCTATTTCCTTTTCTATAGTTTGGGATGCAATGCTGTTGGATCTCCTGGTGTTTCCTATGAAGATTGCATAGACAGAGGGAAAAGAGAAGATAAAGTGATGAGGGAGCTTGAGACATGCTGTAATTGTCATCAATGCATGGGCTACAAAGTTGAGATAAGATAGAGGCCCAATTGTAAATGGAAAGTTTTGGAAGAAAGAGGCTTCCATGGAGTATTTGTATAAAACATGGAGTATTTCTATAAAACAAGAATGAGAATATCATTAATGATCTCTAGGAAAGGGGTTTCAATTCCTTAATTTTGTCATTTTGTGTGAGAAGAAGACAAGGTGGTAATTTGCAGAAGCAAGGAGATGATTACTGATTCGGTTTGACTATAACCCAAGTCAATTGGGCTATGACAAGTTCAATTTGAATTTAGCACAAGAGTGGCCCATTGTGGAATGGAACAAAAGAATATATCATTGCCCAGTGTATGTTCCCAAAAGCAATTGGAAAGTAGAAGAAAGAATGCAAAAAGGAAAGAATAAAGGAGCATCCGCAGACCATTTATGGCATCAACAAAAGATATGACATTCCACGAAGGATAAATATTGGGGCACAGTGGATCAATGAATTTAGATGGTCCAACAACAGAAAGTTATCGCAAAGTATAGTTTTACTTCCAACTGCTCCCGCTCCCCAACAGTGCATCCACCTGATACTTGAATTTGATAAATGAGTCATACAAATAGTATGACACGTGGATTGTAAACAAGTTAGCACCTTATATGCAAATTATATAAAAACAAAAAGAATAAAAATGGATTATGTGTTTACAAAGTATGGTCCAATAGGATCCAATGGCCCCAAGAAGGTAATTCTAAAAATCAAAATCTTCATGAAAAATGGAGCAGGTGGGCAAGAGTATAAGACCTGGTAATGGTGTCCGTCATATGAACAAGGAACTTAACTGCGGCACCAGGCAACTTTAAGGCGCATGAGACTAGCTTAAATGAATGGAGCCTGCAACTGTTGTCGAAAGTGTTGAAACACCAGCATACCATGGGAAAAATGCAAGGCCTTAACATTTCAGCAAAGAATGCAAATAATATTAAAGAGAGGACACCAGTTGCAATTAATTTATGAAATAACAGAAAGAAATACTTGAAACAAACTAACCTGTAAGCCATTGTTGACTGAGCATTAGACAAATGTTGATCCACCATTCCTAAATTTTGCACCACTAGTTTTGAATATTTCAAGAATAGTTCGAGGATTGATATGTTTATATATTCTTATGCACAATACCTGGGGTCGATTTATTATGTATTACACAAATTGTGTTAAAACATCTCCCAGTACTACATTGGATGTTGTGCTTTGTTTGATTGGGAATTGTTATTGTTTTCCTTTGAGTAAACTGATCCACTAATTCACATATGCATTCACAAGAAGGGCAACATTTGAACTTCCTTACTCCTTGTCAGTGTTTGAAAAGTCGGCGAGTCGAGCCGGGTCGGCGAGTTGAACCAGACTTGCCCGGTTCAACTCGGGAATCGACGCCCCCATGCCGGTTCCAGCAAAATACACGGAACCGCCCGTGTCTAGAGAGAACCGGGTGGTTCTGAACAGTGAACAGCCCGATGACATCATAAACCAGCGGTTCTGACATCACCAATATTCGGTTCTACACGTGGCACAATTTCACACCCGTGGTGTCACGATCACACGTAGTATCTCACACGTTGGGTTGCTTCAGCAGCTTCACGCGTGTACTTTACACGTTATTACATTGTTATTTATAGAGGAAAGTTCAATACCGATCCTTCGATGTGGGATAATTCCCACAAACATCGTTAAATGAAGACCGAATTTGAATATGTACTATTAATAGGAAACTTGATATCACATGCGGCGAGGTGGCGTTGACGGTTATCATGTCCAATTTCTTCCTTGACGTCCCAAGGTCGAATCCTCTTGCCTTGGGCGCTATGTATTTCTTTTGTTGTAATTTCTTCCTTGTTGTCCCAAGCGCTATAAATTATTTTTGTTGTCAATAATATAAAAGGCATAAAAAAAATGAAAAAGAAAAAGTTTATTCTATTTGAAATCTCTCTCTTTCTACTAACAATCTCTTTTACTAAATTTATTCTAGAAACCTAAAAATTTAAATTTTTGAAAATTTAAAGTGTTATTTCAAAAACTGGTACGCATTTTAATAATTTCTACATTGATATTCAAATCTTTTATTTTATTTATTAATTTTTACATTATAAATCATTTATTGTACTATTTTTTTTACAGTTGTCAATAATACATTTTAAATTAGATAATATTATAAAATATTTTGGATTTGTTATTATTTGTATAATAAAATAATTATAAAATGTAAACCAAAACTTCTAATTTCAGTATATAATATTATAGTTAGTTAGGTTGTAATAATTTTGGATTATAGCTAGTTAGGTTGTAATAATTTGGGTTTTTTTTAGCGGATTAGGATTTTCCGCCAATTCGAGATTTTAGTGGTCATTTTTTCATCGATTTAGTCTACTCTTTGTTGTAGTCCATGTATAATTATATACTTTATCCACGATAATTCTATGATTTTTCTTTTACGTGATGTAAATTTAATGGTTAACATGAGTTTATATAGGGAAAGAACATCTCAATATTCACAAATTGATGAAAAAAATGAAAGTTAATAATGTAGTACCCTCATTTCTTATTGGATTCTTAAAGGTAACATTTATAATGAATTTCAATAAATTTTCTGGATTTTTTTTAAAGCTCAATCCAATCGATTCGGGGGATTCCGGATCCGGATCGCCGATTCACAGATCCGGATAGATTTTGGAGTGGCCGATCAGGGGCAAATGATCACTTGTACCAAACACAGAAATTTGAACAAGTGAAAACAAACCTAGCTACATATTGCCTAAATTTTGAGGTTATACATTGGTTTTGAAGCACTTTAACTGTTTTTTGACCATTTTCTACTGCACCCATTAATCATGTTTTATCCGTTCGCTTTTGGTGTTTGTGATTAATGTTTTTATTTTCTTTTGATATGTTGAAGAGTAACTTAAGCTATGGGGAAAGCGCTGAAAGGGGTGAGGATGGAAATCCACTGCCCATTTTGGGGGGATCTACTGGAGGCTCTAGGACTGGACTTTTCAGAACTCCAATTTCAGGTGGTGTGCAAAGTGCAACTTCGGCTCATGGGTTACCTCGACCTGCTTTAGCTGTGCGGAATCTAATGGAGCAGGTGAAGTTGGCTCTTTGGGTTGTTTGATTCCTTCTTTATCTCTCTTGTAACGCACACAACTTGAATCATTACCTTGTATCCCTTCTTGCATGTGGCTGTGTTTCTTTGGCATTTTACTTACTTAAATTTAAGCACATTGGTGTGTTGCAAGGGAAGAAGTGGTTATGTTTTCTTATTATCTTATATATTTTACTGGCTGTTATTCTTCTACTGATTTTACCTTCATTATTTGCTTGTTTTGGTCATTCAAGGCCAGATTTGCTCATTTATGTACTATGATGTCCCGAATGCATCATCGTCGGAAGGGGTACCCTTTTGGTTCTTTGGTAGATTTTGCGACCGATTCAATGGGCCGTAAGTTTGTTATTGCTAACATTTTCTTTTTTGCTGAAGTGGTTGTTTATTTGCAAAAGAGAACTCTACAGTCCGTAATTCATGAAAATGGAGGATGCTTCTCCTTAGCCTATTAACATTTGATTGTTGTGGTTGATGTAGATCCGATCTTTTCATTTTCTCCCTTGGCCATCCACACGAGGAATTTGTTGGCTGATTCAAGATGTACACTTGTTGTACAGGTAATTTTATGTCATTGCCTCTAGTATGATACGGTCATCTATGGACAGAAGTAAAAATCCATGTAAGGATAGAGGTTCTGTTCATGATCTGATCTTACTATGTTGACTGCTGGTTTCAATCATAGATACCTGGGTGGAGTGGACTTTCAAATGCACGGGTGACTATTTTTGGTGATATTTATCCACTTCCTGATGATAAACAGGTGCTCTTTCTGTTCTCTTATGTTATATACTTTGCCTATGATTGATTTACAAGTTAAAAACTGCAGTTGTGTTAGATTTTGTACATTGGAGGAGTTAATCAGTGGTATATTATCGATACTTCTTCATATTGCCAGGAATGGGCTCACAAGCATTATGTCACAAAACATCAACAAGGGGCATCACAACAGTGGGGCAATTTCTATTATTACAGAATGCAACATATCAGGTTAGTCCTTTACTTAACAGCATTTTGATCTGTCCTCATTTATAGTTTGTACATAGTGCTTTTCTAGAGCTATTTATTTATTCATTTAAAAAACATAAATAACATTTGCATTGTCCCGCGAATGGGTTGGGGGGCAGATGCTTCAACATAATGCCTCACCCTCCCTTCCTACCAGTAGCATATCATCATCATTTTAGCCTTTTCTCAATTAATTGGGGTTGGCTACTATTAGCATTTAAACATTGACCCTGTTGTGCTATTGTCACATTGTCTCACTATTCAACTAATGTTTATAGTCTTGTCCTTGCATCATTTGAAGGAATTATGTCTATTAGCTAGTCATCACTTGGAGATTTCAACTCAAGAAGCTTGGTCCTTGCAAATTAAAGTAAAAGAATCTGTGAAGTAATGGTTTGGGAAACAAATAGCATGTCTTTTCTAAGCACGATTGCCATTTGTCTTTGGTGAAACCATATACCATTGTTTTTTAATGAATTTTGAGCATTAAACTTTGTTATTATTTAATGGAAAATATTTGCTCTCATCTTTTCTCAAAATTTCTATCCAAGCAGTGACATATACTTTATCGGTGGTTTTGGCACTGTGGCATGGGTTGATGTGAAGGAATATGAAAACCTGAAGCCTGATAAGATAGCTGTTGATGGAGGTGAACAAAACCTTAAGGTACATTTTCATAAGCTCAGATCTGCTTGACGTCATGCTTTTCTAACCATTAAATTTGCGGTTAGTTTCATGGAGTAGTATAGGGATATAATGGTGCAAACTTCACAGACCTCTTAAACTGAAGGGAAATTTTCGAAGAAAATGCTCCAGAGATTAATTATTAAACATCTCACCAATTTCTTTTAATTTAATTTCGAAAAAACTTTTAAAAACACGTGATCATGTGTTAGAATAGTTGATACTTGATATTTTAGGCGTATTTTGATAATGGATGAAATGTTAAATAGTTGATGTTTTAGGTGTGTTTTGATAAACTTTCCTAAATTAATGCCCAGTAGTCAAAGGCTGATACTCCCTTCTGCTGGGCAGAGAGAGTGCGCACTCGGTTTTTTTGTTTCTTTTGTTTGTTGGGGCGGGGGGGAGGGTGGGGGTGGTTGGTGTCACGGGTTGCTGTCGTGACTTGCTCCTTGTTTAGTCTATTGTTCACATTAAGGGGTTTTGTTGAAGCTTTTAATTTGTATCCAGGAACTCAATGCAATGTTCTCGAAGCCTTTAAAGGAACTCCTCTCATCAGAAGCGGAAATAGATGATGCTGCTCTCATCTCCATTGACAGTAAAGGCACTGATATTCGTGTACGCCAGGGTGCACAGGTGCTTCCTTCTTTTCCTTTATAACTTGTCTTTCCCTTTGTAGTTACTTGCTTTTCGTAGTGAGTCATTTGGACCTGCCTACTCTGATTCAGAAAATTGACCAAAATGCTCTTCTACTTTGGAATATAATATAATCAAAGTATTTTCTACTAAAAACAATCATTTGCTATTCTGGTTTGAAAAAGAGTGAGTGATTTGCAATTGTAGTCTGCAGACTCTGCACTGCATTCTGTAAATGACCTAAATGCTCTTCTACTTTGGGAGAAAAATCAAAATGTTGTTCTGTATAATGTATATGAAATAGTTGTCTTGGAGGAAAAGCCAGTTCAATTTTCCTTGAGAACAAAGAGATGAAGAGTCAAGATTTGGCTGCGCCTCTAGCTGATAGATGTTCCTCTGCTTAGATTCATACTTCTTGCCAATTGATGGTGAATCAGTTTTAGCACTGATCCAAATTAGATTTTGCTTCCCTGCATTTTGTTCTGATTTTGCCATTTGGCTATTTTCCTCCCATTAATTAATTATGAAGTTTCTATTTTCGCATGCAGTTTAACATACAGAGGCTATCATTTGAAGCTGGACAGGGAATTGAGACCTTGGAAGAAGCTAAAGCTGCTCTTCAGAAATTAGTGGACAAGGGTACGCGCCCAAAGTTGCATAAGAAAACTTAACATTAATGTATTGTGTAATCTACAACTATTTTTAACATCACAACACCCCACTAAATGAGCTAGTTTTCATTTCTTAGGATTATGACCTTACAAGATTATCTATTTCGATATATATATATA